CAAGTAGTCGGTGATGAAACCAACCTCGCCTCTCCTAGTGACGTAGCCCATCACACGCTATGCGGCGAAGTGCGCCCGCCACGACGCGGACAAAAGCCCAAAGAGGGAGTGGAATATCTTGGTAGTAGAGAATCTTTGGTCAAAGGTCGGGATGTGGCTGACGATTCGGGATGTGGCTGCGGGTTGACGGATCGGAAATGCGCACCGGCGCTAGAGGAGAAAAGCACCAAAATGTTGTGGCTAGATATTTTATGGCATCACTTAATTTCGTGCACCTCGCTAGCTCCAAAACTGATGCGCAGTGTGCTGGCCTTTGTAGGCGAATTGAAGGTAAAATTTCTTACTTAAACTAGCCGTACGTCGTGTTTTACTATCAAATAAAATGGAGAGATAAGAATGATGGATGCATGATAGGTAAGAAAACAAAACTTTGGAGCAAAGGCAACGTGAATGCAAAACACAAACAAAGACAAGACTAATTACAATGTGTCAGTTTGTAAGGAATATTTTCTCTCCATGCTGCAAGTTAGCTGCAGTTTTGAAAGTCTTTCATTTATATTTAGAATAGTCATAACGGATTTAAAAAAATAAAAATAACAGTTATCAGAAATGCAGAACGCAAAATGAACACAACTGGTGCCTTAAAAAGCTGACTAGCATTAAACAGTAGAACCAAAAGAGATAATATTTGCTTATATGATCAGCAGTGTCCCTAAAATTAAAACTCACGGGTGTTGTACATTTCTTACATTCATAATTTTGTAAAATATTTGGATCTTACTTGACAGCACGTAAGGACATGTTGGCAGTACATAAAACAACAACAACAACAAAAATGTTGACAAGGCAAGCATAAAGATAAATAAAAACGTCAGGTGAGAAAATAATTCCACACTTCCTCAGAAAGAGTGTCCATTTCTCACGACTCTATATGCATGACAAATGAAAAGTGAAGAATAAAGCTACAGTATCATTGTATTTTGCTAGAAAATATGTTGAAAAAAGAATATTTCTTATGAAATGCTGCACCAAAATGAAATGAGTTGGTAGTTTATTAACCCTATCCGTATGTCGTGTTTGACTATTGTATCCATACGACGTGGTGAACTCTGTGTCACCACTTTCAAAGAGGAAATTTATTCGTTAATCCAATCCGTACGCTTTGCATAGCAGTCTATCAAAATTATTTTTCGATAAATACTGAAAGTTTCAAAGAGATCTTCGAACTAGAAGTGTTCTAAAATGGGAAAAATACAACCCCTGGTTTACAAAATGACACCAAGGGCGTACGGATAGGGTTACGTAAGTTAACATGATACAACTATCGTAGTCATTTTGAATGCAGAGCACTTGGTCCTCTGTAAGGCATTGGGGACATATTCCAAATCTAAAGAAGGACAAGAACAAAATCATTTAGACCGCACTCAAGCTACAGGCATGCCAACAATTTCAAAACCCAGTCAGGGACATCACCAGATAAGTTAAAAACCAACAAAATAACATCAAATGGGTCTGGGTTTTTTAGCTCAGTGTATATGACAAGGCTCTCAACTTCACAATTGCTGAATCCAGGACAATGCCGGGAAATTCAGGACAGTTGGCAGGACTGGAACTGTACCTTGAACTCCCACACAGCGAAGTGAATTTGTCACCTGCAGCTACTAAACAACTGACTAAATTGTGAAGTGAAGGGGAAAGAGCAATGCTCAAGAACAGTCATGATGGGTCCACTTTGTGGCCCTCTCAAGGCAGAGAGATTTTAAGATGGGACTAAAAGATTCCCGAGGCAATGAACATAACAAAGTTGTCCATATGAACCCATGAATGCACATTATTGATGTCAAATTGTATTAACTGAATGACACAGCTGCAATGAAAAAAAATCTTTTCATCTCATTCACAAACTAACCGACTCCATGCATGAAGGTACAATATAAAATATGATTTTAAAGAATCAATCCTAAACTGAAACGATTTTAAGAGGAAGAGGTTTACAGTATTCAGCGATACTGCAACGTTACCACGCACCTCTCAGCTGCAGTAGTCTCCGCCTAAACGCAGGGTGCTCGGTAGGGCTTCTTAGCGTGTGTTTACACGGAGCGTGCGTTTACATGAACCTTTGCAAAGGGAGAAAGGGCGGAGTCATTTCATTGTCTTGATATTCTAGTGACCTCCCTTTGAGGTGGGGGTTACTTTGGGTCGATAATGTGACAACACGTGACTGTTTTGTAAAAGATTCCCCGACTGGGGTTAAGAATACAAAGGCGTTGAATGGGGGGGGGGGGGGGGGGGGAGAAAAAGACAGACTCAGTGTAACGAATATGCACTATAAATGTCGGGAACGGATAAGAGGAAACTGTTGGAGATAGTCATAGTTACAGAGACGACGGCCCAGCCACGTGGCTTTCCAAGCGACCACCCCAATCGTTAATTCATGGACGACATCAGAATCACAGATCTCTACAATCAGAGAAACATTTCTCGTGTGATTCATTGAAGAAGTATGTTATAAGTTCTTCGAGCGCAGCTGATTAAGCTTACTTGGCTAATCTTAAATCTTATAGAGACCTGTCTAGAGTTTTATGGCATTCACGCGTGTTGTACATCATAGGTCTAGGTCTAACTAAACATTACATGCAATCACCCAAACACCAGTCAGAAACCTTCTCTCAAAGAGGCGTTTCCAGTCACCAATCAACAACAACAAAATTAGTCTCCATCTATGCAGGTTGTAGTGAATTTTTTTCCTGGTCAAGCTTAACCTGTTGGCGTGTTTCGCGGATCGCAGCGTGCGTTTGGACTAGAGGGAGTGACTGTGCCTTTGCACGTCTAAATTATATAGTAAAAAAAAACGTCAGATGACGAAAGCGTGCATTTGAGCGGAGCGTGCTTTTGTATGGCGTGCGTTTAGGCGGATACTACTGTATTCATATCAAGCGTAAACCAAAGGCTTTTGTATAATACCAAAGGCTTTCTCAAGTCAGCAGTTTTCTCTTTATGTTTTGGGTCTTCAGAGCTGCTTTGACCTAGATGGCTGTTCCATTCACTGCAGCAACAGTCCCATTGACCACTGCAGAGACAGTCCCATTCATCACAGCTTCAACAGTGGTATTCAGACAGGTTGCCATATCAAAGGGGGTCTCAATGACCAACAGTCCTAAGATGGTGAGAAAGAAATAATATGTTAATATTCCCACTACTACATAATTACAATATTCATATAAAAAGATACATGCTTTTAAAAAATTCCTGACAAGCCTCCATCAGATGGACTTTACAGTGATGACTTAACAAGTTTCTGGCACTTAAGACTTGTTAATGTAGGCCTACAACAAATCAAATACCTATACTTATTACAATATTCTTACACAAACAATGACAAAACTACTGCCAAATCCATCAATCCCCTTTTCGCCACAAAAGTGGTATGATGTATGTGAACCAAATGTTCAACTATAAATCATTGCAAAAACTTGTTTGTCCTTCAAGAATGCCACCCAAAAAACATTTGTGGAAAATGTATTTTCTCAGGCCTCAAATGACTGTCCTCAAAATTACAAAGCAATTTTAGAGAAACCTTTTCATGGTTGATATGGTGATAATAAAATTATGCTTAAATAATAAATTCTCAGTTCAGAGAAACCTTTTTACAGTAAATATAGGGAAAATAAATGCTTAAATAATAACTTCTCAGTTCTAAAAGGCTGCTCATTGTCCGTAGTATTATTAACGGCATTCGTAAATACTGCACACCTTGAACAAAAGAAATTGTTAACAGCAGGTTCCTAAGTGGTTTTTTTATCCAGCATAAAAATATATCAGATGTCGAATTTCTTATAATTTGTTTAACATGTGGGCTAATCCAAAGTTCAGGTCCATGCAGAGTAAAAGATGATTTGAAACTACATTTAATAGGCATAACAATGTATCAGAACTAACAAAATCAAATCAGGAACCTCCCATATTTCTATTAGTGGACTCACCAGCCACACATGCAGTCAGGAGGTTTGTGACGATGCCACCAAGCAGAGCAGTTACTGCCAGCTGAGCTAGGTCTCCCAGCCGGTTAGGAGCCATAGGGCCCAGACCTCCAAGTTGGATACCAACGGAGCTGAAATTAGCGAACCCACACAGAGCATATGTGGCTATAATCTCTGAGCGAACCTGTCATGAAATAAATAAATATACTAAGATTTAATAAATAAAACCACACAAAAAAACCTGAAGTGACTTCCTGCATTCACACCCTACTCAATACACTTACATTCTTATTTTCCCGTCAATCATTTTCTTGTCCACTTTTGTCTGTTTAATTACATTTGTTACCGGTACTGCCTTTCTCCAGCTACTACAGAATTTAAACAACCCAAAACACCAGTGCAAATATGTATAAATTAAACACAATTTTTTATGCTGACTACTGAGACAAAAACAATTGTTTGTTTAAATAACTTGCATGCACACTGTAAAATCAGAACATTACAACAACAAAACCCTAGCCGGTTCAACCATTTTGAAGTCATAAACTGATATGAGCAGCTGGAAGAGGGAATTACAATACCATATTCCACAACATTGTATTTCACTATTTTTTTTAAAGGTTTAACAAATCGAGGTATTGACTTAGTTTTCCTGAATTCTGTATACAGTAGGCTTCGCCTATAACAGGATCACCAAGACCAACGTATCTCCATTATAACCAAATCCTGATATAGTAGTGGGGCCCACTGTATTGACATAACAGGGAAAACATACAAGATGTCACACGGAATTTTCATAAAAGAGACAAGTGTAATAGCAACATATTCTGACTACACTTACAGAAATTACTGTTCCGCCACGACATAAAACCCGATTGTCAATAAAACTTGACAGTTTGTCATATGCAATAAACTCGTTGAGGAAAGTCTTGATTCCAAGCAACTCGGCAACAGTTCCAGCATCTTCCCACTCCACACCCATGATGTAAGCCAAGGGCATCAGCACAAAGGAACAGATCACCTGCAAATGTAACAAACGTTTCCATTGCCAATAAATGATGACATGAACAATTTCACGACCACATAAAACCAACCTGCCGGCAACCAACAGAAACGTCTGACACCCCCAACTTTCTTTGCGTCTTGTCTTATTTACTTTTTGTTTTAGTAGTGGTTTTACGGCGCTCGCAACTGCATAAGGTCATATGAGTGCCAGAAGATAAGAAGTGTTACAAGAGAGTAACACACATAAAAAAAGAAGAAGGGGAGATAAGGACGACAGATGTTGGATAGGAAAGAAGGAGCAAACTACACCAGAGCACGTGAAAACCACTCACTATCTTGACTAAACAAACTTGATTGAAATACTGTAGACATTACCACAGACTGCCTCTGTTTATAATTATTATAATATTGCATTTAATGAATCCGTTAATTAAATCTAACAGACAAAAGCAACAATATTTTTTGTTTTACCTCAAAGCTTAGTTCAGGGAGGCACACAAAGCTTCCAAGCCATGAGATAGTATTGTTGACGAAGTACTGGAGGGCCACAAAGGCTATGAGGTTAGCCGCGACGTTGGCTACCAGAGAAATGGCAGTAGATGCGCCTGCAGCAGCCGCTTCAAGCACATTGTTGTAGACACTGAAAAATGAAACCGAGCAGCCACATTTAAAAACTGACCTTTCAGAGGAAGAACTTGACCTGAAAAATCATTTATCCGACAAATTAAAATCCCAACATGATACCAACAGCACTAATGGCTTGCCTGTGGGAATGAGGAAATTGATTCCACAAAACACAGTCTTGTAATTCTTACTTTGCACAGTTGCTTCCAGATGGAATATCGCAACAAAACTTTCAAGCAAAAGCATGACACAGAAACATTTGGCCCAGCCACACAGATGAGCTGACACTGCACCATTGGCATACATTGTGGTAAAGAACAATATAATTTTATCGTAATTACCGGTGAGTTTCTGAGATTCAAAAATTCATTATATTTGTGTTACGACTCCGTGGAATCAGTCACTTGTCAGTTCTTGGCCATGTGGCGTTATTGGTATCATCTAAAAGCTTGTTCACTTACCTATTTTTCGATTTTGAAAAATACCTGTCGATAAGAAGTCAAGATATTTGAGATTGCAGGAGGTGGGGGTCGCCTGGCTTTAGAGGTAAGATTAACGAGAAAATGGCCGCCAAAGCTTGGTCAATTCCATACTGAAAATTTACATGTTTTGAAACTTGAATCAATGTTTTTTTCAGTAAAATCCACACAGAAATGTGTTTTTAAATAAACATTAAAGGTGTTGAGCCAACCCCCTCCCCCCCCTCCCCCTAAAAATGGCCCATCTGCCTGGAACATGCCAATATCTTAACTTCATTAGTTTTATGAGTGCCTAATTCAACACGAAGCCTCACATTTCATTTGTAAGATAAACCTACTTCTTTTGCTCGATTGCCTCCTTCATTTTTGCAATTTTGCTCCGGCCTAACTCAGGATACAGTATTTTTGAAACAGCAAGGGCTGTAGGTGCATTCATGACGCAAGCTGTCAGTAGATGAGTTGCTGATACCTGCAGAGAAAAAAAAAGTTCGAAACATCATACCTATGACAGTTGACAACAGATGAATGGCTTTTTCAAAATAACCAAACATTTTAAAAAAATCAATTTTGTTGCTTTAAAAGGGGAAAGTATACAACGGATTAACTAAAAGCATCATTTTAGGGAAGAAATTTTCTCTTCATCAAATATTAGTCCCAAATGCACAAACTCCACAGTTATTTAATTCTAATCAGCAAATATCATATGTGTGTCCCTGCCGGTCAATATCAGTCATATGAAGGAAATTTCAAAACTGAGTTAACATTATTTTAAATAACTATCACCTTTTCACTACAATTTAAAGCAAGAATGAAGTAAATATGACAGTATTTGACGAAAATATAGAACTTTTAATTGTGCGAGGTGAGGAAACACGAAAAGGAGAAAATGGCCTCCGAAGTTGAGCAACATGTTTCCATAGCAATGGGGGTCATAGAATTGAGATAGAGACTTGAAATTTAGCAGTTATCTTGGTCATGCCACAATAAGGTAACATACAAAGTAGAAAACTATTCATTAACAGAGAAAAAAAACTTATGGACCAAAATTTTTGTTAACGAAAATAGAATTGACGTGAAACGCAACAAAATATTAGCATTATACTAGGTATCAGACACTAAATTAATTTCAAAGTAGCTGTATGTCAAATTCATCTGTTTCATATGAAAGGCCTATGTCTCCTGAGAATTTTAGTACTTTACTTGTATCTCTCAGTCAATGTTTAAGAGAATGGAAACTGTTTCAATTTAACATAATAATAAAATATTGCTGAAGTCGCTAACTGGCTGCAACCCCATGTTTGACAGATAATAAAAGAGTACCAAGTGCACCAAATATCTCTACATTATTTAAAGAGTGCAATCACTATAACATAGAAATGAAGCCTAATAATTTTCAAGACTGTGAGTTCATTACAAATCAGTATTTTATTGCCTCAAACACGATGATCTGTCGTTATTTCAATAAAAACACCCACCGTTGTCTCGGCTGGCGTCGCTCAAAACTGTAGTATACTGAGTGCTCCCGATAGTTTTGCAGAAGGATTCATGCAAAATAATTCCAAGCCGATGACTTTATTCTAATAGAAAAAGTAATGTTCTTTCTATTGGTACCTTTTTTAGCCGTTTAAAAAAAACATTTCGTGTTAAAAAGGATTTTTAAAAACGTAGACCCTTTTTTTTCAAGGTTTTCTATCTAAACGCCAAAGGTAAAAAATAATAACCTCGGGAAACCATGCTCAAAGCTGTATAGTTCTCCGCCAATGGAAAGACGGTATTTAATCATCAATCTTTCTGCAAAGCATTCGAATGCATGGGTGTCAATTTTGAACCGGGGTACCTCGCATTCCGACCACGAGGACCTTCCCTTTCCACGGCGATTCTCCAGCTCCAAATACCCGGTTATACAAACAACTTACACTATTATAACGAAACAGAGATCTTAATTACCCCCATTTCATCAAAACCACACGCTCGGAAGGCCGCAAGTCGGCTTACGTCAAAACCACACGCTCGGAAGGCCGCAAGTCGGCTTACGTGCCGTGTTTACGCTACACACACACACACACAAACACACACACACACACACACAAACACACACACACACACACACACACACACACACACACACACAAACACACACACACACACACACACACACACACACACACACACACTCACACGCACGCAAACATACACACACATACAAACACACCAACGCACATACACACATGCACATAGACCGCCTCGTTGGCCTCTTGGTAAGGAGTCCTCTCTGAGAGATCTAGAGGATGGTTATAATTAATCTTTTAAAAGCACTAAAACACAATAAAAACGAATTTTTAAATTCATTCCAAGTGTAAAACTGAAAGAGCAACAGACGATAGCAGATAGCAGGGCACGCCCACACAGTCAGCTGTTTACGTAAACAAGCTTGAAGTGAGCTAGAAGTTACCGTTTTTACTCCGCTTTACCAATCAGAGTCGTTTACATTTCAGATCATTCATGCTCGAAAAGGGGTCAAAATCTAAAAATAATTGCGAATGAAGAACGTTGGAGCAAAGATTTTCCACTAGTGAAGAATCTTTGGTTGAAGCAAAAGTGGCCATGGGGTAATGGTTCTAAAAATAATCTCACAGCTACACACTAGCAAGGTCCAAATTCCTTTATCTCGTCACCCAAGCTAACAACAAACCACACACACCTCCAAAATAAATAAAAGAAAATATTTATAGCCGATTATAGTTGTTTATTTTTAATCATAAATGAAGCAGAAGACATCAAACGTTCAATAGATCCTAAAAACAAAAATTTCATGGAAAGTCACTTTTTTGCCCTTTGAGCCTCGTAGCTGATAATAGCACAATGCGTCATACGACTGATATTGAGCGGGGCAGACAGATATAAAACTTCTACACCACTGCTATCAAAACATAAGCTGCTAAATTTGCAATTAGATAGAGCAAGACATACAATGGCATAACTACATCACCTAATCTTTCATAATAGCTGCTGATTTTTCAATTGGACAGAGCAAGGCATAAATGATAAAACTACATCACCTACCCCTTTCATAATATATGCTGCCAATACAGCACCAGCTATGGTGCCAAACCCTCCAACCATGACAGCATGGAGTTCAGAACGTGTCATGAGAGCCAGAAGTGGACGAACCATTATTGGTGCCTCAGTCTGTGGGGATAAAAAGACAACTAACCTGTTGATCTAGTGTAAGAACAACGTTAAAGACTTTTTGTTAAAAACCAAAATATAACACTTTTTTTTACCCAGCTTGGTAACTTCAAACAATAAAGAACGCTATTATTCAAAAGCAGTAGTTTCCTCTCTTTTCACCAAATGCTTATTCTTGCAGACTTGGAATCCCCACAATGAAACAAATTCATGGAGTAATGAATACACTTTTTTCTTGAGGGCCTTGGGAATAGGTATAGATTTATCAATTATATATACAGTTGACCTTGGACACCACACCACAGGCAAAAAAAGGTAGAACGTTTATGCAAGCTGAAAGGTTCATTTTACTTCCAGGAAAACAAATTAAGTGGATTACAAGGAATTGGGTTAAACATATAAAAAGCAGTAACACTTTTCATTAACACATATATGTGAGGCAGCATGGAAAAAAGGGCGCTCGACAAAACTATGGAATCAAAGAAATCACTATTTTCTCTCTAATGTTACCTCTCATACCAAATGATCCCCACCTCTTTCAATCGCAAATATTTCAATTTCTGTTCAAGAGAGAGATGGCTTTTTTCGTCTAATGCAAGACGAACAAGCCTTTAGATGATATTAAATAACTCTTTATGCCCAAAAACTGACGAGAGCCTAATTCCACCACGTCGTGACACATATATGATCTTTGAGAAACAAGACACAGACTAAAAGATCCTCGTGCAATACCTAAACGAACAGAAAAGGTCTTAAATTAAGGAAGTTGATGGTACATAAATATGATGAAGCAAAGGCCACGAAATTCAACATCAACAAATGACGAGTCTTGCACTTTACATTCATCTGCATACTAAATTATTAAAACTGACTAAGTATAGGCAGAAGGCCATATATCCTTTCTCACCTGTCCTACAAAGATGTTCCCTGCAGCACACAAAGACTCAGCGGCTGTGGTGCCCAAGGTAACTCTCATGACAAAGGCAATTTTGCCGATGATGGCTTGCATAACACGAAGGTGGTAAAGCATTGTAATTACGCAGCTGAAGAAAATTATTACTGGAAGAACCTGGAGAAGAGAAGCAGACATATTATTTCATTTTACTCTGAGTCTAATACTAATATTATTATGTGTATATATTTTTACCACAACAGAGTAAACATTCAGCATTATTACTATATTAGTAAAAGTTGGTTCATGACTACAAAATACTCTGATGACAGTCTGCCCGTTGAAGTATGTTCGCAAAAAGTCATAAGCATCACAACTGTGCAAATATTTAGAGCTAGCGAAAATAAATAATGTCATAAACAATCAGCAACAGAAGTAGATATATATATATATATATATATATATATATATATATATACATATATATATATATATATATATATATATATATATATATATATATATATATATGCAAACCAATTTTCATTTCTATTTTGCCAGCATTTAATCTTTACCTTTGATATATGGGACATGACATCCGCCATTCGGAGAGCAAATAAGAGAACATTTAATCTTTACCTTTGATATATGGGACATGACATCCGCCATTCGGAGAGCAAATAAGAGAAAATAACAAACAAACAAACAAAAATACCAGCTATTTAAGATATGGTGGGCAAAAAAGTATACACTCAACTGGATGCGCTCTAACTGATCAATCAAACGTTGTCACCTTAAAGGCAAAGACGCGATCACTCAGAACTGGATGTGCTCTAACTGATCAATCAAACGTAGTCACCTTAAAGGCAAAGACGCGATCACTCAGAACTGGATGTGCTCTAACTGATCAATCAAACGTAGTCACCTTAAAGGCAAAGACGCGATCACTCAGAACTGGATGTGCTCTAACTGATCAATCAAACGTAGTCACCTTAAAGGCAAAGACGCGATCACTCAGATGTTGGCCAAACACAAAAGCTGCCCCATATTCGCTGTATCTGAGAAACGTTGTGAATGCCTTTCCAACAGCATTAAACATGTCGTATCCTTTGTCCCATTTCAAAATCAGAGTGGCAAAGTAAAACTGCAGTGCAAAGCCACCGACAACGGGCCTCCATTTCACCTGAAGACAGAAAATGTTCCATCAAAAAACTAATGACTAATGTATTACTACAACCTAATCCTTAATCAGTCTCTAGTGGTTACATTAAGTTTTACCAATGTGAAACACTTTCAAAGACCAACAGTTCATTCGTCAAAATGTTAAAAGGCTTTAGAAGGCTGAAATAGTTTTGTTTCTTTAAATCAAATGTATCCAGTTTGATTCTCGTACATAGATTTATGTCAGACTTGATTATGTTGATGAGAAGAAAAACACAAGGTTTTTTCATACTATAATGAGTTTTATATTTACCTAAATTACCCAATCCATCTGCCTTCATGAATTCCTTTTTAAGACTGATCGTAAAACTAAGAATTCACCTATAAATTACCCATGGAATATACATCGAATTGAATCTGGTGAAAATGTGTATGAACTTTTTTTTGACAACCACCTTTGTCTTGACAAATGGGTCAAAAACCCAAAACCTGTCAAGAGTTAGTTTGAATATGAAATTGTGAGCAAAAATCAGAGAAGTATTTGATAGAATTGTGGAAAGAAGATAGAAAGTTTACAAGCGTTTCAATCATTGCCTATGACATTTCTGTTCATATATTTATGTGTAGGACTCCGTAGCATGTCCGTTGTCCATAGTGGGTCCATTTCCGGGCTATTCTCCGTGGCGTGTCCTTTTTCTTATTTCGCAAATCATTTTTATTTCGTGTGCTGTGCCCACACTTTCGCACCAGAATTGTTGCACGCCGCGGAATGGTTCAAAATGTTATTGCTATAATCATTTGTTGTTTTAAGATTCTTCTTCTACTTCGGTTCTACCCCCCCCCCCCCCAAGTGCTTGGAATTATACTAAATGTTGCCATTATGAGTGCAGTGCCAACAGAGAAAATGGGGGAAAGCGATTACCATTAGTGAACCAATCAAAGTGAACCCTAACTTAACACACAGAGAAGAAGGGAGTACAAAATAGGAAAAGGACACGTTACATAAAGCAACCCGGAAATGGACATGCTACAGAGGAAGGACACGTCTCGATGATTAAATATTTCAGAGAAATTTCATTGGTTTGTCTGACACATTGATTATTTACATTTACCAACAAAGACTCCCAACACAATGTCATTAAAGTCGTGTAATCTCCAGTGCAAACATACTTTTCTTGGAGCTCTTGAGCAGAGGATCAGGAGGCATACTAAACACACCCAGCCAAAGAGAGAAATGAGATTTGATGGTCTTTGAACAGCTGACACGATGATGATTGCAAGAATGCCCAAAATAGGTGCAACTGCCAGGATCCTGAAAGAACATTTGTATTGTATCAGGTATAGATTCAGGCCAGTCACAATGCAAGCACTGAAAGGAAAAACAAAAATGTCACTCTTCTCTTGGCTACTGACAAATAGTTGTTGCAATATTTTACCCCTTGCAAAAAGATTAAAATAGATTCTAGCTTAGATAACGCAAACTGGTGATGATGCTACTTTTTCCATTCTCTCTCTCTCTCTCTCTGACTGAACTATGAAATGTTTCAAAGACAAAAACAGTCAAGAGTGACTCAGAGGGGGTTAAATCATTTTGGCTGCATTTTGAGTAATATGTGCTGCAATAACATACCAAATGTATACTTTTTTTTACCCCACACCAATGAATTCAAACAACAACAAAAATAATTTAATAATAAAAGTAAAAGACGTTTTATATTCTTGTTATGATTCAAACGTTGCGGCAACACTACCTACGAATATGTTGGGCTGGAGACATGGATACATTTCCTTTCTGCCCATATAAGGCTGGTAGCACACCAATATAATATGCAGAATAACAGACATCTGCTATTGAACGCCTCTTTTCTCTTACACACAAAACCTTAGATGATAGATCTTCAAAGAAGGCTACACCTGCTCCCTCTCTTGCTCCAAAACCCAACATTTCAGCAGTCAAATAAACATCAAAAGCCAGAATAAAATGTCACCACAAAAAGGTATTCAAAGGCCCAGATTCTTTTTTTTTAAAGAAAAAAAAGAAAAAAGAAAGAAAGAAAGAAAGAAAGAAAGAAAGAAAGAAAGAAAGAAAGAAAGAAAGAAAGAAAGAAAGAAAAAAAAAGAAAGAAAGAAAAGCTTCAAGGTTTCAAGAACATGACTTACTTATTATTAAAAGTATACATTATACTTAAAAGAAAGAAGCTAACTCGAAAAAACTAACCATTTCAGAATGTGCCAGTGGTTACTGATACCCTTGTTCAGAGGTACAAGAACTGACTGGTTGATGCTATCTGAAAACCTTTTCTTCACAAATGTTATGATGACAATGAGCAGAGCAGCAACTGTGAGACAGATGAGCGGCACAACATCATGGTCCTCATCGCATTTGTGGATGGCAGCAACAACCAACGCCCAGATAAAGTAACCTGCATATGCCATGCACAGGATTGCAAGCACTATCTGTCGAACAACAAAAAAGACAACATTATCAATCTTGCTTGTGTTTTTTAGTAATAGTTTTTAGCACTTGCAACACAATTAGGTAATACATACATACATACATACATACATACATACATACATACATATATATATATATATATATATATATATATATATAAGTAGCAAAGATTGCAGGTATCACAATCAGGTCATATGAGTGTCAAAGATTGCAGTGAGTTATAACAGAGTAACAAACACAAAAGGAGGAGAGATAAGAATGATAGATGTTTGACAGGAAAGAAGGAGCAAAACACACAACTGTACCCACGAACCAACACCCATTATCAATTAAAACTTGTACACCATATATATAGAACTGCGGTACTTAAGCAGCATAACAAACTATAAGAACAACTATGTTGGCAATCCATACAGAACAAATCATTTAAAATAAATTTAAATTTAGAACAATTTATCAGAGGAAACATCCTCATTTGTTGAAATTTCAAAATAACTGTACAAAAGATTTAAACAACTCTGGCCCTTTAAACTGCACCCCCACCCCCTAAAATACACACACACACGTCACACACACCATTAACAATACCTATATTGCTCTACAAAATGCATGACTCACAAGTTCTCAAAAACGCCAGAAAATGTTTGGCAAGTGGGTGCATGAAGTGCTTGTTTAAATGGAAAAAAGACAGGCAAAAGAGAAGAAAAGAATATACTGAAGACATGACTTAAGTGGGAAATGTTAGACAGGAAGGTAACAGAGAAAGAAGGTGAAATGAACACATACCCATTTTAACTTGGATCCACAGTAATCTCTCACAAAACTTATGACTGATGATGGCGGGTTTAAATCTCCATCTTCATCATCATCAACGGCATCCAGCTTGTCTAAAAAAAAAAAAAAAACAACTAAGAGCCATGCAGAATGAGGTGCTAATGATGAAACAAGAGACATGTGGATGACATACTGATGGGACAAACTGCTAATTGACCTGTGCAGCTGTCTGCCAGTTGGCTGACACCTAACCACACAGCAGCAATGACGTAACACGGCAGCACACCTTAATGTCAGCGTGGGTGCTCTGTTAATTCAGTTGATAGCATGCTGAAATACGGAGCAGAAGGCCTTATAAGTTCAAATCTCCTACCGGGCATTCTGGAACTTGGGTTGTTTTGTGAAGTTTTCAAGACTCAATCCGTATGGCTCAGTTCTGTCACAGACAGATGTTACATTCAGATATCCCGCCTCTTAAATAACTTAATTAGGAGGTGTGCTGATAAAATGAGTTAGTCCTCGAAATCCACAAGCAGAGACATGAGCCAAAAATCAACACGAGGTTCACGTTTGTAGATTGTCAACTGAAACCATATTTAATTTTAACAAGCTTATTTTATTGTTTCATACTTTAATAAATTGTAAAAAAAATTACAAAAGCGTGATGTACAGATTTTTAAAAAAAATACCGTATACAAATTTATCATGAACCTTTATTGTAAATGTCGACACGTACCAAAAGTATAAAAGTCAGAAACATGGTACCAAAAGTAAGACATTTAGTTCACAAAATTGTTACAACATAATTATCTAATGGCACTACATTACAGTGCATGCTATACTATAAAAGTAGGCCTACAGCTCACCATCTTCAATGTCAATCGTCAGGTCCGACTTCTCATAGTCCCCAGGGCTCAGCTTCTTCAGTTCATCAGATTCACTGCTGTTGGGAGTGGAAACATCAGCAAGCCGTATGCTAACTCCAGAATCACTTGGTCCTGGGGTGTGAGCCTTCTTTGGGAAGCTTTTTGTAAAAGACATCTTTGTGTTCTAAATCAAAAGCAAACAATATGGGTATATATACAGAGAGAAAGAACAAGAAGCAGTTGAAGGCAAAAGAAATGAAAACAAAGTTCCATTTATAAGTAATACGTTATTGTTTCATTGTAGAAAATACCAAGGTGACAATTTGTTTTCTTATTTAAAAAAAATATATATATATATATTTATAGCGTACAACCTGAAAGGATCATACTTATTAATAAGGCGATGGCAAGTGATGGTTCCTGAAGAAATAAAGACTGGCTCAAACTGCTAGGGGTAACTGCCACAAAGCAACCCACATAACAAAATAAACAGTTGTCTAAGACTAAGACAGCCACTCGTGGTCCAGGAGAAAAGATACCGTCTTACAATATTACAATTTTTTTTTAACGACGTCTGGAAGGAAATAGGGAGTGACCATTGGTACAGGGGACTGTCTTATACAGGTGGCCGTTAGAGCAGGTTTGACTGTATTATGTTATGTTGTCCATCTGTAAACAGTTCAAGTGAATCACAAAGCCCCCAACATGTTGAAAAAATCAATGCCATTGCTGATTGAGGTGTTATCCACCAAAGATTGCGGTTGGTGCAGTGGGTCTATCATTAGGTCCAAAGGGACATTGTGGTAGTTTAACCCACACCCACATATTATTATTGGCCTAGCCTATAGTATATTCTTTTAAAAAATTTCATCCGGGGGACAGACATGGTATTTTTACGTGTGAATTCAATTTGTTTTCAGGTGAGGGTGGATTGTCTCTGTCGAACAGTCTGTCATCAGGAAAGTCTCACCTTGGACAATAAATCATTAGCTAAGAAGGCTTCTATTTGAAGCAACGTTTCAAATAAGGTTTCCTCACAACAACGGGCCACTGCTTTAAGTCCTTCACACATCTCTTCAGAACAAAGAAAAAAAGTCAGGCAGAATGCCAAGGGTGTGCAGTTAAGTTCAATATTTAAGACAATCTCTCTCTCTTGCCCCTTTTAACTCCCAGTGGAGCATAGGCCGTCAACAATATTTCTCGAAGCTGCCCTATGCATCCGTTTCTAACTGTTTCCATGATGTCCCCGCCTTTTCCATCTCCGCACGTACCACTTGCCTCCACGTCATCTTTGGTCTTCATTTCTTACGTTATCCTTGTGGATTCCACGTCAAAGCCTGTTTGACGATGATTGTCGGGGGTCTCCTCAGGGTGTGCCCAATCCATTTCCATTTCTTCACCTGTATGTCTTCCTTTATTGGCCTTTGGCTTGTTCTTTCCCACAGTTCAGCATTAGTCGATTGTACCACTTGATCCCCACTATCCTTCTTAGGCATCCATTTATGAAGCTCTGCAGTTTCCTTGCTGCTGATGTTGGGAGCCTCCATGTCTCTGAACCAAACAGTAGGACAGTCTTCAGGTTTGTTTTGAAGACCCTCAGCTTGGTGTTCAATTCCACATCCATATAATTCCTGAGGATGATGGTTTTTGGATTCTGACCTTGTGGTCTTCGTCTGTTCCCCCTGCCTCGTTGATGACACTTCCTAGGTAGGTGAAGGACTCAACATCCGCCAATGGTGCCCCTTGCAGTGTGATAGGAACGTTCGTTTTATCCATGTGAATATGGAGTTCAACACTACGGGAGAAGGACCTGACGCGATATGTCTGGGCTCGACTGTGAGAAAGAAGTGCCAAGTCGTCGGCAAATTCCAAGTCTTCCAACTGACTGGAAAGGGCCCACTGTATGCCACCGCGTTGTCCCGATGTTATCTGTCTCATTATCCAATCCACTGCTAATAAAAAAAGAAAAGGCGATAACAGGCATCGCATCCCTGTCTCACTCCTGTTTTCACTTCAAACGAGTCTGTCCGCTGCCCCCCAAGCAAGACACTGCAGCTCATTCCCTCATACATCTTCTGTCAGGCGTGCGTTGCTGCTGCCAAGGAGGTTATACATGTACCGTTATGGAGGCTGCTCTGTTGGCGGCGAAGCCCTCTATTGCAACGGAACAATGGTCAACCTTCCCTGCGCGCTGCCCGACTCTCGAACTGAAATCTAGATATCTAGGAAAGAGAGTTTTATTCTGAGGTCCTTGAGATTAGAAAAGTCACTAGACTTATTTTATGTTTTAAAACCCATTTATCTCATTACTATTAATGATGTCAAAATATAGATGTCCTAGCGGCTCCATATTAAAAAAGAAAATCTTGTGCCTGCTTTAAAACAACAGCAAATAACTTCTCTGTTAAAGAAATATGGTGGGTCGTTGGCGGGTGCTCTGGTGTGGTTTGCTTCTTCTTTCCTCTCAAACATCTATCGTCCTTATCTCCAATTCTTCTTTTTTATGTTTGTTACTCTCTTGTAACACCTCTAATTTTCTGGCGCTCATATGACCTTATACAGTTGCGAGCGCCGTAAAATCTCTACTAAAACTAAAAACTAAAAGGAAATATGAAGGAAGGGGGGCGGGTGTAGTGTAAAGAGTTTAAGCCTCCTTTAATAGATCTGAGCCGGGTTTAATCTATTATGGTAGCCTCCACCTGAAATCCCATCGTTTATGATCCCGGTTCCCCTAATACGGGGTGCCCTCTACGGACGGGATCAGCCGATTGGGCCGATCGCCCGACTCGATCGCCTCAAAAACAAACGTGTTTATTTTCAGTTTCAGGCGATCGAGTCGGGCGATCGGCCCGATCAAGCTGTAGTGGGCACCCCGTATAAGATTCCATTGTTTAAAGAAAAAAAAAGAAACAATTCCCCAAAAAACAACAAATTTCACTGTACAGGAAAGACCCCACTCCGGAGTCTGAAGTTCCTGCATTTTAGATTATGTTTTACTGAACAAAAAAACCTTCAGGGATCATCCGCACTCATACATACATACGGTCACATCTCCGCTCTAAGTTTCTCGACGAGTGATACAATGTTCACCTCAGGTGAAGGGGCCTTACAATATAAAAGGATCACACCAAGGTGTGAACTTTTAGACGATTTTGATTTCTCCGAACATTGACCTACAGCATCAGCAAGGCGTGATTCGGTAGGCATCGAACTGTGATTTCATCGGCGCTTTTGTTTCCCTAAACATCTATCCGAATTTGCTAGACAGATTTTTGCGCCTGTTCTCTGGGACTGTCCGATCGCCTTTGTGTAATGTAGAGCCAACCTTTCATTCTCTGTCCACATATTATTGTATTTCATATCGGCCTTTCGTCGGACACGCCGTCGCAAGTGATGTCGGCCCCAGGACGGCGGGCCAACCTACCCATTAATGCCGATGGCGATCCTATGGCGAACCGTCGGATTTTTGTCCCCACTCCCCCCCCCCCCTCCATGCCCTCATCCCTATTTCACCCCCAAAAAGGTATAATTTTAGTCGGCCCCACCGAGAGCCATTGTCCATTCATGTCCTGATCCTAATTACTAATTCTGAACTTCAGCACTGTGGTTTGAATCAATCTAGCATCTGCGTTTTTTGGTCATTTTTTTGTCCAAAAGTTCCCAAAAGTTCCCACAAAAAGTGGCAAAAGTTGCCCAAAAAGTTGCCATTAATTTTCAAGCTTTCAACTCTCTGAGACGACGTATACATGTATAGCAATATGCCGATAGAGGTAACAATCTAAAGCACCAGAATTTCTTGTGCTCTGTTTTAAGCATTCAGAATATCATTGTAGTCACTCACAGGGGAAAAACAGTGAAAAATAAAGATTTCACAATAGAATGAAACCAAAATTAGAACAGCACGGATAAATAACCACAAAAATTAACAAATAAGGGCGCATGTCCACCTATCCGAAGATACGCTGCTTTAACCCTAAACGTGTGTAATTCAAGAAAAACTAAGCCTACAGGATATTGCATGTAAATTATGGAATCACACACAATTGGGGCGTGCTACAGTCAGTATTCGGAATAGGTGGAGACACGCTCTAACGTTACACATTTATATTTCTAAAAGAGTAAGAACAGCATTAAATTAAATGACATTACGCTATATAAACACAAAAAAAGAAAAACAAATCACCTGAACAATTTTAAGAAAAATTAACACACCAACAAATTAAAACACAACAAAGAGGTAAAATCATAGATGTACACTATAGTACTAGATACCGTACGCCCCTCTCTCGCCTTGCTGCGCGATGGCCACATTTGACAGCGGCGTCCGCCATGTTTTTTGTGGCAAGTTGTGTGAAGGAGTTCATGCTAAAGCAATGGGCTAGGCATGTTTTCTCTCTCTCTCATACGCGATAGGCGAGGCTTGGTTCTTGTTGTTGTTGTTTTTTTTACATGGGCGCCGTGGCGTACTATATCTAAATTACTAAATTGCAATAATACGGCGTTCTTTCTACAACTAGATCTACAAATAAATGTATTATTAAATAGATAGAGATAGAGATATGGGCTTTTAAAAAAAAGAAGAAAAAAACCCCAACCTTTATTTGTTCATCAGCACTTTATCTACGAGGTGGTTTATTTCTTATTGATTGAATCAAAGCGTATAGGGCCTATAGAACTTTTTAAAAGAAGTATGAAAAGATGTGGGTGTCATGGGAACCTCCTATAACCACCCCACCCTCTTTCTCCTCCCGAATCCCAATACCAACACCCCCCCCCCCCCCCCCCTGCCCCCCTCAGATATATGAGTTTGCCATTAAATTAAATGAGGATGAGCCATAGGAAAAAAAATTCCAGAGTTTTTCAGCATTTAGGTGTAGGAATGCAATGAAGCTCTTGATAAAGCAAATTCAGCCAAACAAATGATGAATACATGTACTGGTATTTTTAAAATCGAGTTAAACTTTCCCTTGTGACATTTGAACAGGAAACTATTTTTCATTCATATGTTCACTTTTTTAAAAAGTATACTAAATTATAAGTAGTGTTTTCATATGTCGGTATTAAACTTTGGTTTATATTGATTTTAAGAACTAAAGAAGACCGTATACAGCACTTAAACTAAAGCTCCTCCTATTGCTGTTTTAAGTAATTCTAATTTTGGACATTAGTAAAGCAACTGTGACAACTCTGGGCTCACTAAAGATTTTTTTAAAGTGAACTTAAACGTTGTTTTGTAGCCTAGTCAATTGTTTTTCTACTCAGTGTAGTGATAACTGAAACAAAAACCTTTACTAAAGTGTTTTTGGACAACATTCAATAAAACAAAACAATAAAAAGTACACTGTTTCAGTTTGATAAAGAAATGTCCTGCCCATTGTGAAAAAGATCTAGCTGCTAGTCAACCTTAACTTCACATGGCCCAGAACCTTACTGATGGCTCTTTATGTTTTAAAAAAGAAACCCGGAGTGACTATTTGTGTCTATGAGACATATTATGCGCTAAAAATAGATGATGTAGTAAAAGAAAACAGACATCACTGAACTGCCTGACAGAACCAGTAAGACGTTAATCCAGAAAGGGACAAGAAGTTTCACATGCTTGCACCTTTAAGAGAATCGCTTTGAATCAAAACATAACGTTAGAATCAAATAAAACACGTAAGACTAAGAGCAGAGACACGCCCACTCAAATGTAAACAAACTTTTTAGCCACATTAAAAATGGCCGCTAACAAACTCAAATGTGTCCGTGTCTCGTAACCTCGTACGGACTCTAGTTTAAAAGGAGGTAACTCTATGGGTAAAATAAAAAGACACACAGGAATATAAATAGTATGTAATGTACAATAAGTTTATATTCTCCGAATGAAAATAGATACACAGGGGCATATTAAAACTTATCAAAACACATGTCTTATATGTTATGAAGTAGCTTTTTTTTGCGTGTCTTTTTTGAAAATGCAAAAATCGCGGCCGCCAGATTCTAGATCAATCCTAACATTAATCAGAAACAGACATAGCAACTATGATAATAAAATAGATCGGGATGAAATTGAAGCAAAAATTAAGTGAAGAGAATCAGATTCAATACATGTAATTAGAATTGGAAGGAAAACATACTTAGAAAAGGATAGCCCAGCAGTGGTGGTGGGTAGTGAAGGGCTTACGGGCTTGAGCCCCCCAACCCCCAACCCCTTCCCACCCCAACTCTATCCCTTAGTTAATGGAAGTTTCTTAAATAACGAAATAAGCAGTTGAAACCGTTATGATCGCACGCAATGAACACACAGTGATCAGCTTGGCAGCTAGCCCGTTTATCCAATCATTGTTGTCACCGCTTACAACTTTAGTAACCTAACAGCCAATCAAATGTCGTTAGGGCTCAGAAAGAATAAGCCGGTTCCCACGCCCGTTTTTAATGAAACTCTTCTTGTAAAAAGGTAGAAGACTTGAAAAAAAATAACACTGCACTGAGGGCTCACGCAGTCCCAGCCCTGACAATGGGGTGAAAGTTTACGACGCACTTTCCCCCAGTGAAACAGTTACCTATGCGCCCATTGGGCCTTTGTTAGGCGCGTTCTATTTTCCGCAACAACACGACCCAATCCACCTCAGACACGGTGTGCGTTTGTGCCGCTGAGATTTAACAGTTATTAATTACATCAAACCACTTTTGAGGCAACTTTTTCATCAGATAAAAACTAATTAGAGACATTTGGAGGTGAAACGGCTTCGTCCCCATCATCCAGAAGAATTTAACGTAGAACAAAGAGATTGAAGACAAAGGTGACTCTTCTCGTTTGAATGATTCTCAAAATGCCGTGGCTCGCCGCGAGTATAGAAAAATCATCACTGTTTTGTTCTTATAGCTTACTTTTTTTGTGGTAAAGAAGTGGAAGAACCCTAAGCCCCACCCAAATCTTGGTCCACCCACCGCCACTGTAGCCCAGACCAGGGGATGAACTGAAAGTCCACCAGGAATTATATCTAGAATCTAGATCTAGATCTAGGCTAGAGCTAAACCCATCATTTGCTTTGCGCATTGGTTTTGGCCCACTGTAACTCATTAAATTTATTGTTAGGCCTGTTAACCAATAGATATAGATATTATAACCTATTTCTTTTCAAGTGACTAGTCTGGAATATCTAGATTCTAGATCTAGATTAGATTCTAAGTTCCAGATTCTTCTGATCAATAATGATAATCAACAATAATAAAACTAAAAGGGTATTAAATTTTAAACTCTACTTTCACGCCCGAGTCACCCGTTTCACCCGTCTCAGGTTCAGAATCAGTATTCTAAACTTCTTCATTTCAGTTTTAATCTAGATCTAGTGTTTTACATGAATAATTTGACTTAATATTCCATCGCATGTTATTATTAATCTAGTCTATGAGATAGAATCTTGCTATGATGGCTTTAATATCATAATATGACTGGTTATCAGATCACTAAATTCATATCGTTCTTGATGAATCATGGACTTGGCTGTGAGTAGATCCATCTAAAGTGCCGAATGAGAATGTGCACTCATTACCGAGTCGGTTTCATAATACATGTACTAAATCTAGCATCTGCGTTTGTTGCCATTTTCCCGTCCAAATGTCGCCAAACGTTGCCACAATAATGGCAAAAGTTGCCATTAAAAATTGCCATTAATTTTCAAGCTTTCATCTCTCTGTGACGACGTATATAGCAATTTGCTGATATAGGTAACTTAATCTAAGGCACCACAATTTCATGTGCAGAATCCAGAATATCATTTGTAGCCACACAGAGTGTTAAAACGTGACAAATAAAGGTTTCACAACAGAATCCAAAAAAAATTAGAACAGCACATAAACAACCACTGAAATTAACAAATAAGTGCGTGTGTCCATGTACCCGAAAATTGGCCGTTTTAACCTTAAACGTGTGCAATTCAAGAAAAAGTAGGCCTACAAGATATTACATGTAAATTATGAAATCACACACAAAGTCGGTGGAGACGCGCTCTAACATAACACATTTCTATCTATCTATCTATCTATCTATCTATCTATCTATCTATCTATCTATCTATCTATCTATCTATCTATCTATCTATCTATCTATCTATCTATCTATCTATCTATCTATCTATTTATCTATCTATCTATCTATCTCTCTCTCTCTCTCTCTCTCTCTCTCTCTATATATATATATATATATATATATATATATATATATTACGCTATATAAAAACAGTAAAACAACACATCAGAACAATAACAATTTTAAAAAAATAACACACCTACAAATTAAAACACAAGAAAGAAGGAAAAATCAAAGAGAAACAGCAATAGAAATAGTATTAAGGTACTTATATTCTTCAAGTAAACAATAACAAATCAATGTGGTTTCAACAAGTGAGAAAGAGACAAAGTGAAGCTGAAGTGAAAATGAACTTTCTTTCTAAAAGTAAAGAGGTTCGGTTTCTTTTCCTTTTCTTTTTTCTTTTCTTTTCTTTTTTAAAATATTTTTATTCCCTGGCAGTAGTTTTGTATTTTTGTGTTGTTGTTGTTTTTTTAATGCAAAAATCGCGGCCGCGATTCGCGGACCATAAAATGCCAAAAATCACGGCCGCGATTCGCAGGTCACGGCCGCGATTCGCAGGTCACGGCCGCGATTCGCAGGTCACGGCCGCGATTCGCAGGTCATGGCCGGGATTCGCAGGTCATGGCCGCGATTCGCAGGTCACGGCCTCGACAAACGCAGATGCTAGATAATACATGTCTGTTGATTTAGAGTAAATCCATGACTAGATTATGTAGTCTACTGATATTCAAAAGACTACTCACGTGTAATTGCCAAGATTCCGTCTACAACGTCAACACTCAACAATCTGGTTGCTCAATAATAAGTAAAGCTGCCTAGAATTTTGTCTTCTCTTGCTTTCGTCCGTTCGTTCGAGGCGAGACCACGCGTTTTCTGGACTAGATATCTAGGCCTCGGTTAAGTTGCATTTTCTTGTAGGACCTCAGCAAACGAGATTTTCGTAGAAAATTTTCAGATAAGCTTTTGTTGCCTGGACTGTTTCCTTATAGTTATGGAAACCCGCACAGCCCACGATATGAAGACTTTGTTTATACTATACTTGGAGTTGTTTTAGCATTGCACTTCTGGTAAAATAATTCCTTATATTTTATATAGGTGAAGAAATGGAAATGGATAGGGCACACCCTGAGGAGACCCCCGACAAGCATCATCTGACAGACTTTGACGTGGAATCCACAAGGAAAACGTAAGAAAGGAAGACCAAAGATGACATGGAGGCGAGCGGTACATGCGGAAATGGAAAAAGCCGGGTCATCATACTAGAAAAGGATGCACAGGACAGGCTTCGGTGGAGAAATGTTGTTGATGGCCTATGCTCCACTGGGAGTTAAAAGGGGCAAGAGTGAGAGATTTCCCACGTGAAATATAGGCCTGAGCTGATGATTTCTCACACGTGAAATATAAAAAAATTGCAAAAATTAGTGCGCTCACTTAAAGTAAGAGATATTTTCAATAATATTTACTGCTCTTATGTAAATCTTGCCCAGATGGCAAAAATTAAAAGGCAAGACCTGCTACTTAAGCGGGAGGTTGCGTGTATAGGGGGGGGGGCTGCCGTAGGGCGTTAAACTTTCAACTAAACCGGCACCAAACGGTAGCCTATTTTAGCCTATTTGATCAAGGAGATGAAAACAAGAAGGCAGAGAAAAAGAAGAACACTGATCAATTTCATTTTTCTCTCATGGATGAATTGAAATATTTTGTTGTTGTTGTTTTGTGTTTTTTTTTGGGGGGGGACCCCTAACTAATCGAATATTGGCTTCTGTAGAAATATTAAGAAAGTACTAGATCCAGAGAAAATTTTGTAAAATTTTCATGAAATTGAAAGAGAAAATGTTTTCAACTGCGTGGAAGTGTGCATCCATGATTATTTTTTTCCCTCGGCCTGATAACTCGAGAATTTTGAACAGTTTTAAAAAAAAAACCCAGTTACCTTGAAAAAGATAAAAAGACAGAAACGCTTGTTGAATTATGCTCATGAAAATCTGTACAAAAAATTGCCTATTTATTTATGAGTACAGTTCAAACATTAGTTTTACAAGCGTTTGGTGGCTGACGCCATTTAGAATTAGAGTTAATAAGCAAACTCCTGAATCAAATCACATGCGCATGTGCAAGATTTGTGATAACACTGAATCGACAGCTGACTCATTGCTTAGGCATTGTGTTCTCCAAACACAAAGTCTACGTGTGCATACGAAATATTTTTCTTGCATTTTCCATTCTGGGAAAACAAGCGATGCTGTTGTGATGTTGAATAACTGTGTTAAAAGTGCAGCCGAATGTATGCAATCTTCAGGGTGTTAAAAGGTTTAAAAAGTGTACATCCCAACCACCATTGTTAGATGATGAATGCTATGATGCTAAAAGGCAAAAATACAAAGCGTTACATAGATTTCAATTTCGGACTCAAATGAAGCATTAGATAACCACCTCGCTTTGAAAAAGAAATTCAAAAACCTCTGTAAACTTAAAAAATCACAGTTGATCAATACATTTTTACAAACTCAAATTCTTATTCAGAATTGAAGCGCAATTCGAAAGATTTTTTTGGAAGCAAGTCAATATCCTATTCTGTAAAAACCCGGTAACAAAGAATATAATCAAACACAGAGAAGGGTATGTCTATTTTGAGAAATTGCTAAACCCTCTCTCATGGTCTTTGAAGCCATCGAATCAGATTTTTTAGACCTTTGAGGTTGGCTATTGTGCCGGAACCACCTTATGTCTCTCGATGTATTTCGATTCGACACCTAGTTGTTGTCAGATGTCCGTGTTTCTTTACACTGGTAACTACGCATAGAAAACGTTTCGGCCGTAAATGTTACAAGCTTTTAACATTTCCATCCTTTTTTTCAGTAATTTCTTCAGATCTAGCTGATATCACAAATGCATGTACACTAATGTTTCATTCTTGATGAGATTTGCTGTTAAACCTGATACTCTATTCTTTTGTGTTCCATCACGTTGCCCACGTTCCCTCCTGTTACTGTTTTCTGTCCTGTTACCGCCCCCTCTTTATATTCAGAAATTCTAGAACTTTGTTTTAAAAAGTGAGTATGGGATTAGCTTCATCCTATTGCTGAAAGTAATAGAAATTCCTATGATCACAATGTGTTTGATCTTAGAGTTAGAATCACAAAAGGGGACTCCAAATATTTTTTCGATTTCTACATGTGGCACTTTAATTCCAAATTATTTTCAATGGATTGTAATATTGAAGTGCTTTTTATTATTCATCTGATAAATAGACCTGGTTTCACCAACATGATATTGCACCCCACTCCCCCTCCAAGACCTATTTCAGTAAAACAGCGTGGTAACAAGAGAGAACATTTAACCTTTAAAAAAACCTGACTTCGTAAAATTGTGCGAAATCAAAGAAACTAAAAAGTGTGTTCGGGCGTGTATTCGAGGTGCGTCGACATTGGTGGAAGGGATTAGTATTGCATATGAAATGAAAGGAGAATTATTTTTATCTCGGCAATTGACGATTCTCAAATCAACCGCTTCAAAATTAACAAGTTACAGAAACAACAGATTTAATCATCTCTTTCACAATTAATTTTTAATTAATAAAAAATTATTCCTTTACACTACTTTTCTCACAAGGAACACACCATAGATTTTACGAACAAACAATTGTCCTATTACAATTCCGAATTAGAAGCTTGAAAGTGTTTCGAAGATATTAAAGATCACAACTTCATGGCTGTGGTTCTGCATAGCCAAGTATACGACCTCTTCACCTCCCCTTAGCCTACAGTAACTGGCCACTTGTGATTCACTTGTGACGTCACTCCATTACAGTAACCGAGGCGAGCTTATTCAAGGAGTATGCTTTTTCAACGAACGGCAGTTGTGCCAGAGAGTTTACAGTAACATACATGTAATCAGTAACATACATGTAATACTGTTAAACTCACTGGTTGTTCATGCACAGGCCAATGCTAAAAAAAAAAAAAAACGCACACGCACACACAAACTCTACAATTTTTTTCGGAATTATTATTCCAGAATGTTGTGATTTGGAACCGACACAATTCATTCAAAATGAATTTGTTTGACATAAAGTTCATAAAGAGGAAACTTATTTTTGAAAACGAAAACGGCTTCAAGAAAAAATACTTATAAAGATAAAATGCACCAATTAAAAATACGGAGTGGCTAGTTGCCCGATCTGGGGTGGCTAGCGTTTTGCTACTCGAACGAATTCAATCGATTAGCCTGACGCTTCTGGCACGTGGCGATTTCTGCGCATGTTCCGGGCGAACGAATTCGGTCGATTAGGCTAGCATAATGTGGCTTCTGGCCCCTTGAGGATTTTTACGCATGCTCCGTTAAATCGAGTGATCATTCGCACAAGATTCAGTCACTCAGTCACTCCTTGTCCTCCATGTCAAGAGTCAAGAGTCGGATCGGTCAACATTGCAGCTGAATTATATGTGGGGAAAGACTTTCCACAGTTTTAGAGAACTGAGTGAAACAATTTCTAAATTTTGCCACTTTTCACATGAATGCATTTGTAAACGACGGTAATCAGTAATTCTAATAACAACCCCCCCCCCCTTCTCTCTCTCTCTGTCTCTCTCTGTCTCTCTCTGTCTCTCTCTGTCGCTCTCTCTCTCTCTCTCTCTCTCTCTCTCTCTCTCTCTCTCTCCCTCTCTCTCTCTCTGTCTCCCTCTCTGTCTCTCTCTCTATCTATCTATCTCTCTCTCCCTCTCCCTCTCTCTCTCTCTCTCTCTCTCTCTCTCTCCCTCCCGCTCTCTCTCTCTCTCTCTCTCTCTCTCTCTCTCTCTCTCTCTCTCGTTCTCACTCTTTCTCTCTTTCTATCCCCCCTCTCTCTTTCTCTCTCTGCCCGCAGACAAAATTTCTCGCTTTCAACTCAACGCTGGAACGTTTGTTTACACTCGTATCACGGGCCGTCACGCGTTAAGACGAAGACAAGGTAGATCTAGCGCCCAAGTGTCGTTCGGACGCGAGATACGGCAATTGAAACATCTTGGTCGTAGTTAGATAATCTTTGATAACATCCCCACGCTGCATTTCTATTATTAGTAACTTGGTAACCGGCATTTCGATGAATGATAATAATTACATTATAATAAAGAGTGATAGATCTAGGGGATCTAGTCAACTCGCGAGGGAAACGTCGGAAGACGACAAAAATAGATGACGGAAAAAAGTCATCTATTTTGGGCCAATCACAGAGGTGTACAGAGGTGTGCTAGGTGCTCTCAATAGCTTAATGTCACTCGGAAGTCCGCGAGGCAGTGTTTACGCTACCTAAGACTAAGACCACATCTAGATGACCGGCTCCGGGTAGGAAGAAAAATGCTAGCCACCCGAAGTCGCAGAAATCCCCTTGGGCCAGTAGCGTCAGGCTAGTCGACCGAATTAGGTCGAATAGCAAAACGCTTGTCACCCTAGATCGGGCGACTAGCACCTCCCGTAAAAATATTGTAAGGAATGTCATGAACCAATTGGTTTTCTTTTTTCTCTTCCTTTTCTCAGAAACATTTAATTTTTCCATCACTGTAACAATTAAACAATATTTCATTTCTCTTATAGAATTTTTGTTGGGGAAAAAATAACATTCTAATTTTAGAATTCTAAGAGCCTGTGCTCTGCATGATGCCCTCCTTTGGATTCGAAACATTTTTGACCCTTCGCTCGTAATGTTCAGTGGTGGCCAAACATAAGAAAACCATGATTGTTTAAAATCCCACACACTGTAAATTTTCATAACAAAGCGTATTCTAAATAATAAGGAGTGGGGTGGGGTTCCCAATAGACAGTATTGTTTTGTAGAGTTAACTTATCCTGAAACGTGAAAATGGGCTTTGACACTGAACCAAATGTTGTTGATGAAATGTTCACATTTAGGCCTATTATTTTTTCTAGACGATCGAGGAATAACGAACACATTGCCATCCTCTGATCCACGTCAACAGCATGGATATGGAAATGATACTGTCATTTGTGAATATCTACCTTGAGAAAGCGGGCCGTTATGGTGAAGGAAAGTCCTAGCCGCAGACATCGTCTGCGACACTGACAGACGTTTCATGGGACTCAACCATTAAATTCATGAAT